CACAAAAACAGGTGAAGCCCCTTTTATTCCTTCACTTTGCTTCCAAGCTCCAAATATCCTTGACAAAAAATTCCCCCACAAGCAGTTACAAAAAGGAGGAAATGCCGTTTAAACTAAAAATGCCTATAAATTATAAAGAGTAAAAACCACACGAACCACACAGAAGCAGTTAAGGGAACCAGGCAAGATAAGTGCTTGAAGATGTCCACAGATATCGGAATACACCCTGGGAAGGACATCAAACTCAGAGAGGAACGACAGACTAGAAATGTTTCCACGCTTTGTTTCCAGCACTGGCCCATACGCACGTCCGTCCTTTTAACCACTTCTCACAGCTTCAGCCCATGAAGGGGATCAAGGCCCTTTCCTCCCCCGTAGACCATGCCATTCACATCTCTCCCTTCTCCATTCCTCCCTACGTGCCCTAGGATGGAGAGGGGATGGGCCTGGGTCTTCCTCTGATTGCCCAGCCGGCCTCTGTCTTCCCCAGCCTCCCCCACAACCTCCGGAGCCACACTACCACTCCTTGTCAAGCTGTTCCTCCTCTCCCTCGGAGTCAGTCTCCAACATGGGTATGACAGCACCTCTCCTTTCCCAATCCAGGCCAAAGAACCCAAATCTCAAAAGCATTTTGTCTCCTTCTCCTTATCCCTAAAAAGAGATAAGGCAGGATACCTTGGTTGTTGCTTCTTATCCCGGTCAGCCAAAACTTTCACTTCTTAACTTCCTCCTGCACTTTCTTTTCCGGATGAGTGCTTCTTTGAGGCGGCCATTTCTGACCGCCGCTCGTTCACCTTCGGGAAAGGGAGTTTAGCCATCTGGGGAGGGAAGATGCGGCTTCCCTCAACCCTGCTGGGATCTCCCCCCTCTTCGCCACCTCTACGGGGTGGCTTAGCCCCGAAGCCAGACTGGCTCGGGACGCTCCAGCGGCGAGCCCAGGCAGAAACCGTGCACGATCGCGGATTCCTGCCTGCCGCCGAAGCCCTGCAAACCGGACGTTTTTCTCTTAACGACTGTTCTCCAAGATGGATCTCTGATTGCTTGTCTGATGCTCTTTCTTAGGGGAAGTGGTGGTGAAGTGGTTTGAAGCTGTCCAGACTGGCCTGCCCATGTGCATTCTGGGAGCCCTCTTCGGTCCTTTACGCTTAAATACCAGGTCAGTCGAGAATTTTACAAAGGCAAGCTTGCTGGCTGGCATATCTTCCAGTTGGGCCTTGATACCCATTGACACATACACACCCCTGTTGCATAAGCGAGCTTGAATGAAACTTTTATCCTCGATTGATCAATTGGATTCGCCAATTGCTCCTTGAAAATTACTGCCTTGCCTTTTTCAAGGTGTCAGCAGCCTACTGTAACTTCTAATTATCGTTTTGGTTTAATCTTAAAAAAAAACATATCCGAGAGGATTAAAGGTTGCATAAAAGATGGGAATTTGCAAAGTCTTACAAAGATCTTGTTTTGGTTCAAAAGCATCCTTAATAAGGAATGTCCCAAATATATATGAGGATGTTCTGTCTCTATGACTATCATTAAGTGTTGCACCTTATGATTCTTGACGATTGTATCTTTTCTTTTATGTACACTGAGAGCATTTGCACCAAGACAAGTTCCTTGTGCGTCCAGCCACACTTGGCCAATAAAGAATTCTGTCTATCTTCCATCTATCTCTTCTTTGCTCTTGGAGTTTCTGCAGCTGTATATGCTTTGTGCAAAAAGCATAAGAATTAATAACTGCTTTGTAGCGGGGTGGAAAGTAAGATCGTAGCAGCTGTGCAATCCATGGCAAAAGTTAAACAGAGGAAAGAATATTGTTTGAGTGGTTTGTCTGTTTTTTTTATCCAGGCCTAAAAACAATCTGGGAAAATAGACTAGACAACTGCAATCTTCATCCAATGCCTAAATTTTAATACAGGGCTCTGTTAAATCGCTAGGATTAAATTGGATTAAACACGCTGCCACCTGTTAGAAAGATTTTATATAGGTCGCTTCTCCAGGAGCGAAGGCGACCTTTTGAATCTAAAACGCAGCAGCTTTAGTTTTTCTAATCCCCCCCGCCCCCCCCCATTTTGAAATAAATAAATAAAATAAACCACTTCCCCGTTTTTTATTTCCTTCCTTCCTTTCCCCAGAAAGCGGCACCTTTTGTCTGCGGAGCTCATCCCATGGGCCATTGAGAGCGGACAAAACGCGACCTGCATCTTGAATTTCTATTACGAGAAGCGTTGGGAACAAACGGTAGAGTCTCTTCGCCGTGAAATCGGCATTCTGCCCCCTCCTGGGATCCAGGTGTGAGCTTACCCGTGGCTGGAACAGGGGAACACCTGACAGAAGCCACCGCTTTCAGGAAAGCCCAGAATTAAAAATTCTGGGAATTAACCCTCCCTTGACAAAGCCTAGGGGGTTTTGGGGCCCTGTCGTCTTCATCAGTGGTCCCTGGACTGTTCAAAAAAAGTTTAAAAGGAGAAAAGAAAAAAAAAGAAAAAAGCATCAGTACCAAACCCAGAAATATCACAACCTTGACGATAACAAACGGAGAAGATATTGATGGCACCAATGCGGGGAAGATTGAACGATGAAAAAACAGCTGTCGAAAGTAGATCTCAGCTCCTTTAAATACATAAGAGTTTTGGGTTGTTTTTTTTATGGCTGAGTTTTCACAAGTCAAACAGGGATAATGTGACGTCTTTTAGCACGTTCATTCTCACAATTGTGGGTTTGGATTGGCGATTCCTTCAACGTCTAGGATGCTTACTTCCAACCCATCGATCCTGAATCTTTTTGCAACGATTTTCATCCCTTCTTGTTGCTCAAACTCCTGTGAAGATGATTTTTTTGATGCCCAGCCTAGAAAAAAGGACAGAAGTCACCTTATTTCTGCCTTGAGTTGTTTACAAGAAATCCCCTCCGTAAAGCAGATTGAAGCGATAAATTGGATTACACAAGCCCTTGTATTATAGGGCAGGTACGAATATGCAGAGCTAATCACTTGCTTCTGAACAGGGGTGTATTTTCTCTTTCATATTCTCGATAGGGTGGTGATACTTAATAGATTTTACCTTATGTTGCAGGGTTTCTGGTTCCTTAAACTATCTTGTGTCCCAAACCTTCTTAAATATCTTTATATATGGTTTCTCATTCCAGTTTTTAAATAAATGCCAAATGATTCCTGTGGGCACCTCTTGGTTCCACTTCCATTGGAAAAGAGCAGAGTCACAGGTTTTTGTGTTTTTAAACTATGGTTTATACACGCCCGGTTCACACAACGTACTTTTAAGCCAACAACGTGGCTTGTTTCTTGTGAATCAAGCCATTGGTGCTTGTTCAACAAACCACGGTTTTATAAACAACGGGCTAACTGAGCACAATGTTCGTTTTGTTACGAATAATCTTGTTAACAATGGTTTTATTCACGGGAAATGTTGTTTTACAGACATTAAAGTTTCGTCTAAATTCAAACACCGGGCTAAAAAAAACACAGGTTCAAAGCCAGCCGTGGTAGCTTGCTGTACAATTTTGTACGTTTGGGGAACTCAGCCCACGGGGATTTATTCAGCAACCAACCTTGGCTTTGTGGGACAAAGACAACTTTAATGTAATATTAAATATTTTAGTGAGCCTAAGCGAAACACATTTTTTTCCCTTGGGAGAATGAATACAATGTTAGGCATTTCAGTCAGGAAGGAATCTATTATATATTCCAATCTTAGATAAGGTTAACAAAAACACCTATGCAAAATACTTGGACATAAGGCCGTAATTACACGGAGGTAGGGCTGGTAGCTGTGAAACTGTTTCCTCTTCCTTGTAGCAGCATAATACGGGTAGTCCTCGACTTAACGACCCCAACTGAGCTTAAAATTTATGTTGCTAAGTGAGAAATCTATTAAGTGAGTTTTGCCCCATTTTACAACTGTTTTTGGCCATGTTTGTCAAGTGAATCACACATTTGTTAAGTGAATCACTGCAGTGATTAAGTCAGTCGCCTGGTTGTTTACTGAATCTGGCATCCCCAATCCCCGTTGAATTGGCTTGTCAGGAAGGTCACAAAAGGGGATTGCGCGACAACCGTGGTAAGTATGAACCAGTTGTTGGGGATCCAAAGGAAAATCAGGTCACCACGGGGAAATGCTGCCATGGACGTAAGTGTGAAAAACGGGTCCCAGGTCCCTTTTTTCCTAGTGCCGTTATACCTTTGAATGGTCACTAAATGAATTGTTGTAAGTCGAGGACTATCTGTATTTATTTTTTTAAACCCAGCCAGCATGCAGAAGAAGCAGCTTGATGCTCTCTTGTATGTGTTGCCGGCTGCCATCCCCACCACCACCTCAATGCCCGTCCTTCCAATTTTCTCTTTTCCACAAACCCCCACGGGCAATTTTGGGGGTCTTCTTTGAGGGTCTTCCCCACATTCAACTTCCTAGACGCTACCTGGGTCTCCCCGTTGCTTTGGGTCCTTTCTCGTGCTGGGAAAGCGGTCAATTAAAGGCCTGGGAGACTAAAACATAAGGAAGAACGGTTGCAGGATTTGGGTTTGGCCAGCCTAGAAGGACTAGTGGGGACGTGATAGCAATCGCACTTAGACTCATGTACCACTCCACAGCTCTTTCTAAGCGGTTTGCAGAGCCAGCCCATCGCGGCCCCCCCCCCCAACCATCTGGGTCCTCACTTTACCCACCTCGGAAGGATGGAAGGCTGAGTCAACCTTGAGCCGGTCAGGATCGAACTGCTGGCAGTGAGCAGAATTAGCCTGCAAGTCTGCATTCTAACCACTCTGCCATCACAGTTGATAGAGAGATGGACATAGAGATAGACGGAGAGAGAAAAACGGACATAGAGACAGAGATGGACACAGAGATAGATATAGACAGACAGACAGGTAGGTAGGTAGGTAGACAGATAGGTAGAAAGGTAGATAGGAAGAAAAAAGAAAGAAAGAAATAGCCCTTAGACTTATATACTGCTTTACAGTGCTTCACAGCCCTCTCTAAGCGGTTTACAGAGTCAGCCTATTTGCCCTCAACAATCTGGGTCCTCATTTTACCCACCTCGGAAGGACGGAAGGCTGAGTCAACTTTGAACCGGTCAAGATCAAACTCTTGGTTCTGGGCAGAATTAGCCTTCAATGCTGCATTCTAACCACTGTGCCACCAGAGTAGATAGATAGATAGATAGATAGATAGATAGATAGATAGATAGATAG